CATTTGAAATTGTTGGAGCTAGTGGGCTATTTTAAGCCCCTCATAAGGGTTTGAATCTCAGCTCTTTGACCAAGTAATTTAATTTGGATGAGTCTGTTTCCATTTCCATATTTAAAAAACCGCTATGTAATTGTGATACTGTCTTCAAAAGCAACTCTTAAATATGTGCTTGTCCTCGAAGTGGCAGAAGCAGGACATAATCTTGATTGTTGTGTTGTCAGGAGCTGTCTGACAAATAGCGACAGACACTATGAACAGAACACATTTGCCTGATCCTGCCCATCTTCAGCATCTCTGCTGGGCTCAAGGCTGTGCATTCAGCTGTGTCAGTCAGTCCATCTGCTTAGGGATCTTCCTAGCCTTCTCTGAGCCTCCACTTTTCCAAGCATGATGTCCTCCTTCAGAGACTGTGACCCGCTCTGATACCACACCCAAAGTATGTGAGGGGCTCTCACTATCATTGCTTCAGAGGACTCTACCAGCTCTTCTTCGAAGATAGGTTGATTTGTTTTTTTGACAGTCCATGATATACTCAATATTCTTTACCGACTCCACACTTCAAAGGCATAGATTCTTCTTTGGTCTTCCTTCTACATTGCCCCACTTTGACATGTGCTTGAGGCATCTGTCTGTGAGGCAGTGCAGTGGGTGAAGGAAGGATTCCTGAGTGAGACTGCTTGGGTTGGAATCCTTGCTCTACCAACCGTGTGCCTTGGACAAGACAATGAACCTCTCAGACTCGTGCCTGTCACCTGCTGACTGGAAAAAGAATACTCTAGAAAACCAAACCAAAAAGTTATTGAGTCAATTTCTACTCAACAGAATTGTTGTTGTTGTGTACCATTGAGTAGGAACTGACCCCTGTCTGAATACCCAGCAGGCTTTCGGAGACAGTCAATCCATCGCACGGAAGGAAATCACCCATCCTTCCACGGAGCAGCTGGCAGATTGAAACCATGGACCTTTTATTGGCACTGTAGTTTCTTACCACTAAGCCACCAGGGCTCCTGTTTAGAACAGAGTAGAACTGATACATGAAACCATTTGCACTATGGGACTTTTCCTAGCATATGTGGTAAAGCGATTTGTTTAATGTGGTCTGTTTCTTCAATCCTAAAGGATATTATGACCTTTGTGGCTATAGTGGAACACTTTGAATAAAGCCAGACAACAGTAATCAGTTAAGATGTTAACAAGTAAGAGAGAGAGAAAGAGAGAGAGAGAGTGTGTTTTGAAGGGGGTAAGGATTACCAACCAGGTCCTGGAAAAATGCAACTAAGAGTTGCAGTTGTTAGCCAACAAAATATTCTTACTTTCTGCTTGTTGGGAACATAGATGTTCTTTGTCTTTGCTAGAGAATTGTGCTGAGCACTGCTGTTAGGTGCCATGAGTCCATTCCAGTAGGAGCCTGGTGTTGACAGGGTAATTGTTCCATAGGGTTTTCCCCCCTTGTCATCTTTACAGAGTAGATTACTAAGGCTGCCTTTTTGCAGAGTGTCTGAGTAGGTTGGAATCACTCCCATTTTGTTAGCAGCCAAAACATTTATGCCACAGGCTCCTTGTGGTGATCATCAAGTCTGTAAGATTACACCTATTGTATATCTTAACAGGCTGTTCTTTTGGCCTAGGCCATAGGGAGTTTGCTGGCTTATCCAAGAATGGCTCTTTTTACAGCTTGAAAGTCTGCTGGAAGATCAGCTATGAATTGGTTTTGAGTAAAGGTCACAATATGACTTTGCCCTTTCACAGATAGACTTGAAGTAAAGGAAATTTTAAATTATATTTTATAGTTGTATAGATCTGTATTTGTTCCCATTCCAAAGAAAGGTGACCCAACAGAGTGTGGAAACTATAGAACAGTATCATTGATTTCACATGCAAGCATGATTCTGCTGAAGATTATCCAAAAATGACTGGAACAGTACACCAGCAGAGAACTGCCAGAAGTCCAGGCTGGGTTTAGAAGGGGTCATGGTACTAGTGATATTGTAGCTATTGTTAGGTGGATATTGGCTGAAAGCAGGGAGTACCAGAGGAATGTCTACCTGTGCTTCATTGATTATGCAAAGGCGTTTGACTGTGTGGACCCTAACAAACTGGTTGACTCTGAGAAGAATGGGAATCCCAGAACACTTGATCGTGCTAATGCGAAACTTATACTTGGACCAGGAGGCAGTCGTCAGAACAGAGCAAGGGAACACTGCATGGTTCAAAATAGAGAAGGGCGTACTCCAGGGATGTGTCCTGTCTCCATACCTTTTCAGCCTGTCTGCACAACAGATCATCCGGGAGGCTGGGCTCTATGAGGAGAAATGTGGTGTCAGGATTGGTGGAAGATTTATCAACAATCTGCGTTATGCAGATGACACAACCCTGCTTGCTAAAACTGAAGAGGACCTGAAGCACTTGCTGCTGAGGGTCAGGGACTGCAGCCTTCAATATGGATTGAGGCTCAATGTCAAGAAGACGAAGATTCTCACCACTGGACCAATTGACAGCATCAGGATGGATGGTGAAGAGATTGAGATTGTTCACAGCTTTAGTCTGCTTGGCTCCGCAATCAGTACTCTTGGCACCAGCAGCCAGGAAATTAAAAGACGTATTGCGATGGGAAAGTCTGCTGTTAGGGACCTCTCTAAAGTACTGAAGAGCAATGGTTTGTCTCTGGAGACTTAAGGTGCATCTGGTACAGGCCTTGGTCTTTGCAATCACTTGTTATGCGTCAGAGAGCTGGACAATGACAAGGGAGGATAGAAGGAGAATTGATGCTTTTGAGCTTGGAGAAGAGTGCTGAGGGTGCCATGCATGGACTGCTAAGAAAACAAACAGATTTATCCTGGAGAGGGTTAAGCCAGGCTGCTCCTTGGAGGCAAAGATTCTGAGGCTTCATCTGACATACTTTGGTCATCTTGTAAGGAGAGACGGGTCCTTGGAGATCATGCTTGGGAGGGTGGAGGGCAGGCGCAGGAGGGGAAAGCCCTCTGGGAGATGGATTGATTCGGTCTCTGGGGCAACCGGGATGAGTGTGTCAGAGACACTGAGATTGACACAGGACAGAGCAGAGTTTAGAGCTGTTGTACATAGGGTCGCTATGAGTTGCAAGCGACTCGATGGCACATAACAATAACAACATAGAGCCCTTAATTTTTATAGTTGTACCATTTTTATTTCTGGTTCAGGTTAGATTTATATTCAGGTTTTATTATCTATGTATTATTCAGAATAAACCCTCCCCCCAGTCTGCAGTTCCAAAAATCCAAGGATGTTTTAAGTGCTTTTGTGTGTTCATATGTACAAATGTTATAAAAATAAAGCAAGTTAACGTCAAATAACCAGTTGAGTAAAAATATTCTTGTTCATTCAGGAATCCTCCTTGGGTCATGTGCCACAATTTGTACTGTAGAGCATGTTGTACAGAAGTTTTATTTCCGTCGACTTGTGCAACAGGAACGGCTAGTTTTCCTTCTCCACAAATCAAATGCACAGCATTGTTTTTCTTGGATTTTCTAGGTTAAATTCAGTTGAAAGCCAAAGTCTCTGTAAACTTTCATTCAAATAAAAAGAAATTAAGTGTATATATGAATATTTTATCTATCAGCTACCTGGTGATATTTAAATGAGTATTTGGTTTTTTAAAAAATTATACTGATTTTTGGCTTTTCTTTGATTTTCCTCATTTTGAAATTATATAAACAAGCACTTAAAATATGTTAATAATATTTCACAGCCATATTTTACAGACATATCTTGAATTATTTTGGCTATACTTCCTTGATGTATTTTGCTCTTATATATTACTTTCTCCTTTGCACTTTACACTAATTTCTTCTTTTTGTTAGGTAATAATTGTTTCTGCGTTTTATACTATCATCTTTATTAAAAACTATGCAAGTAAAAAAAAAATTCCAAGAGTAAGGCCAAACCCAAGAAACCTCCAAATATGCTAATTTTTAATCTCTTATAATTGAGTCAACCAATTGTATAAACAGACTGTATTGTTTTTCAGTAGTTTACAAGTTCTTAAAATTAATCTTTATATTAAATGAAGGGAAGAAATTAGTTACTTGGTAAATACTACACTTTGCTTTACTACCTTGGTCCTTTTAATTGTACTCCTCCCCGGCCCCCTTAAAAAGTCATTCTCAGAGTCTGTGTTAATGGATAAAAATAAGGCAGCATTACTCGCAGCACATCACAGAGCACCTAGGTTTGGGCTTTGGTCAGAGACTTGTTGCTACTAGTCACTTAACAAGTGTAGAACTGAACTTAACCCCATGGCCCAATTTTTCACCAAAATAAAAGCAACAGATAGGCGGCACTCCTTAGAAAAATTAACCACTTAAGATCAAAGGGATAGCATTTGCCCAGGGGCAAAGTTCAGAAACCCAGAGATGATAGGAGGAACAGAGGAGGGGGAGTGGAGAATGGAAACACCAAGGAGAAGTGGAATGAGTGATGTTACATGTTGTGTCGGGGATTACATACAGTCAATGGCATGAAACAAAAATGTGCGTGTGATCTGTTGAATGGAAATATAACTTGCTCTGTGAACCTTCACCCAAATAGCTTTTTTTTAAAGCACCTAAGTTAAGAACAATTGGAACTGTTTTCTCCTCTCATAATTGGGCTGCTCTTTGTTTTCATGATGTTTGTGTTCCATGTCATTGGGAATCCAAAAAGTGGCATATTTGTTCAATGTGTGAAGTCTTCCCTTACTAGGCTTGGGAAAAAGCAAGCAACAGAGCAGGATTAAGGCCATGATGTTAGGCTTCCCGTTGACACTCTGAGCTCTAGGTCTATGGCTTTGTGTTCTGTGGATGTAAAGAGAGGCAGGGGCTGGATGCACAGTCACCTCTTGATTATCCAGAGGCTTTTGGTCCACCAGCACTTTTCCCATTGTTTTTATTCTATCTCCTGCATCAGTTTAGCAGACTTGACTGACTTTCTGTCACATGCACTTCTGTTCCCTTATTCCTTGGTGTTCTTTTCTCTCCTTTCAGTCATCCGTTTGTGCTAAGATTGTGCAACTCCTGGGACAGAATGAGGTCGACTATCACCAGAAGCAAGTAGTCATCCTTAGCCAGGATAGCTTCTACCGCGTCCTCACTCCAGAGCAGAAGGCCAAAGCCCTGAAGGGCCAGTTCAACTTCGATCACCCGGGTGAGTAGGGGACTGGAAGAAGGGTGTGTGCGTGCGCGCCTCTGCACGTTGATCTCTGTTCATCAGGAATTCTCAAAACCTCTCTGGATCCCCACCTATGAAATGGATTGGTAACTTTAAAGGGTCATTATGGGGCTCATATGACAGAAGGCATTTTACAATGCATTGTTTTTGGCTTATCAGTTTCTGAATGGATCTGTGTCTAACGTGAGTGAACACTGTATGACCTATGTACTCAAGTTGGGCTGTGACACAGGGTAGAACAGACACACTGCTACTACTTCTGTGTCTGCTGTGTTTGAGAATCAGCTTGTGTCCTTGCTCCTGCCCCCTTCCCGGCTCCCAAAAAAATACGCCAGAAAGAGCAATGGGAGAGTCCAGGATGGATATTAGAATAGTTTTTACATAGGCAGTCCCAGAACAATACACTGTTCCTTTAATTGGTTTGCAGTTTCTTATAATTGTTGGAGTGGAAACTTCTTAGCCTAGTACTTACTGCATGTTTCCAGTCTAATGAAGTCCCTAGACAATGCAAATTTCAGCTGGTAAAGCAAAAACGTAGGAAGTTTGAATTGTACCTCATTAAGATATACTAATCGCTAGGACAACGATGAACTTAGAAGAGGAGGGGAGAGTGTCAAGGGAGAAAAGAAAACACTTTCTGATTCATTCATAAATTCATCTTGGGATATAGAGACTTCATTCTGCATTGGGTAGAAATCTAGTTTATCTGCTTCTCTGAGTGTGATGTTAGTTAGCATTGCAGGATTTCCCTGTACATGATTGCAGTTGCAGGAGAAATAATAATAAAATTAAGCATTTTAACAACTTGGTTTCCTTCAGATGCCTTCGATAATGAACTCGTCTTCAAAACACTCAAAGAAATCACAGAAGGGAAAACAGTCCAGATTCCCGTGTATGATTTTGTCACCCATTCCCGGTAAGTGAATGGCTGTCCTTTGCTCCCCAGTATACTCAGGACACCCCCCCCCCCCATTTCTTGCCTGAGGGTACAGAAGGCAGCAGCTTGCATATGGTCACGCACAGCTTGAGGAGGTGGTCTGTGAACTTCTTGGAACAAGACTGACCAGCTTGTTTTGTTGGAAGAGGGACTGAAAATTCATTTTCATCTACACCCCTGAGTTGTTCCAGGAACAAGGTGTTGCATTGGGGGCACAATAAGAAGACTAGTTAGAAGAATACAAGAAGGCTGTTCTTTCTGTTCCTCGTTTATTTGGAATGGAATGGAGTGGAATAGTGTGTGAGATGCTGATCTCAGAATGAATTAGACCCTCCAGAAAGGCAAGTCAGGAGCCCTGATCAGGAGCATAGAGGAGTGGCTTGTTCCTCTCTTCCTTCTCTGAAGGACTTCGGCCCCTATTGGCCAGAACCTCCTAGACAGTTGAGTTCTAGTTCTCTTCAGAGCTGTAGAGAGCTTCTGGCGCACTCTTGGTTTTAACATTATGTCTTTTGGGCTGTCGAATCCCAGCCAGATTCTGTAGACTCCTCAGGGGTGTTTTGTACCAAGAGTGGTTCCTTACATTTTCTCAGCTGGTGATTGCTCCAGGGATGCTGTTTTTAAGCTCTGGGCTGTTTCTCCTTCTGTTTCCTTCCTTGACCCCTTTCTCTTAACTCTTACATGTTTAATTTTTTTACTCATAAACGAGATTTGGCCAGAGGTGGCTGTTGAGAGATAGCTCATCATTTACATTCAGCCTTCATTTATATCTTCCAAAGCGATCTTCTGGCCTATGGGCCAGACTCTACTGTTCCTAGAGAGTCCAAGGACAAGATATGATACACCACTCCTTCTATATCAGTCCAATAGTCTAATCAAACCCTACAGATATTGCAGAAATAAATGAGTTCCTTATAGGAAGTGGAGGTAACATGAACACTGACAGGCTATAAGAGAGAATCACACTTAGATAATCAGGAACAACTGCTCTCCCTGACTCCAGCCTTGGGCACTTGGTGAAATTCCTGTGGCAGGAGGTACTAAAGTGTGGGAATGGAGAGAGTAGTTCTGGGGACCAGAAGAGAGAAGACCCAGAATGTCATTTATGAGGCTTTTGGATGTGAGCAGTTGGTGGGAGTGGTGGTCTGGACAGTAAAGGTGATTGAGTACCTTACCCTCTGAGTGTTCCATTGAGTTGTTAAAAAGTAAGAAAACGCCAGTAAATTTCCTGCATTGTTTTAGAGATGCTTAACTTACCCTGATTCCTCTTTTACCTTATCCTCTGTTGTTGGTGTGTCTATCAAGATGGAACTGACTCATAGCTGACCCTCCAGTAGATTTTTCAGGGATAGTAAATGGGATGGGAGGGAATTGCCCATATCTTCCCCACGGAGCAGCTGGTGAATTTTAATTACGTGCCTTTGGGTTGGTAGCATAGTTTGTTAACACTAGGTCACCAGAGATTCCCTGCCTTGGTCTTTGTTATGTCCAGTTGACCCTACAGTGAGTTTTTAGAGGCAGTAAATGGCCTGGGAAGAGATTGCCAATCTGTCTGTGGAGCAGTTGGTGGTTTTGAACTGCATACCTTTAAATTGGCAATGAAGCTCCTTACCTCTAAAACTGTAAACTTTTGCTGACCATGCTAAATCATGATGCGCACACTGCAGCGGCTCTCTCTCTGGGGCCTTCTGGTCTGAGTCTCTTGTTTAAATATCTGTCTATTCAAAGTTAACTGACCAACACCCCCCCCCCCCCACACACACACACACACACGAGCCTTTGATGATGAAAGGCCAAGATTGTTGGGGTCAGACTGAGAGGACAGAAGACGCCTCCTCACTGCAGACACCCATCTCTGGTCTTTCCTTTCTTGTAGACCAGCAGCCAGCTCATTGAAGTTAATTGTCTGGATTTCCCAGGCAAAAACCAGTTCATTTCAGTTCATACCCCTGCCCCCCAACCCAGCATCTTGTTCAAGTACAGATCCTCATGCTGAATCTCTGGGGTGGAAAGGAACTTCTCAGCAGTAGGGACGTGGGATCAGAATAAACCAAGTGGAAAACCTGCTCTGAGGGCTCCTGAACACTCAGTGTGGCTCCTGGTATAACCTGGACTAATAGCTGTTCATCCATGTTTCTTTAGAGCGGAACTGTTTGGGAAGTCTTCCCTGTTTTACACTAACATGTGGACTTGAGGAAATAATGAATTCCGACTTATTTTCCCAGGAGGCCCGTCTGTTGTTTTGGAAAACCACCTGTTCCTTTGTGGTGTTTATGAGTTAGGCATGCGGATAAGCATTTGATGTCATGTCAGTACAGGGAGCCTCAGAAGCCACTGTTCTTGGTGTGTGTTTTTAAATGGAGTCCTAGGGCTCCCACAACATACTCTCTTTGTTTCCCAACAGAGCCCTTCCACCGCCTCCTTAGCCCACAGGGAGTTGCCTAAAGTAGCTTTATTTCACTCACTCATTGATCTTTTTTCTTACCCATTTATCTTCTAAACTCTCCCCTACTTGGTACCTTGCCCTGAACCACAGTGACTTCTCACAGTGGGCAGCTCACATTCTTTTGGCCCCTTAATTCTCAGCCCCTTCTCAGCCCTGGTGCATCTTAGAAACACCTAGGGAGCTTTGTATAAAAAATACTGTTGCCCTAGCTCCACTCCTGGGCTAATTAAATCAGAACCTCTGGGGTATTGAGTAGAGGTGTAAGTATTTTTTAAAAAGCTCCCAGGTGAGCCTGATGTGCATCTGAAGTGAAACCATTCTGAATGTTTCTATAGAGTCATCTCATCTGACCTGGCCTTGTTTCTCTTTTATCTTCCACACCTTGCATTTTGCTGCATGAGTAAGTTCTCCTGACAGTGCCTGCCTTACAGTGTAGACATCAGATCAGTCCAGAGTCTGAGCTAACACGCTGTGTTTAGAGGGAAGGAAGTGTTAATGGAATCCTCTCTAGTTGGTAGCTGCCTATGTCGAGCTCCATATGTTGGCACAGATAAACCTATTGTCTTAAAGAAATAAAAACGAAAATGGTTTCCTTTGGCTTACCAGATGTTTGCTAGTCTGCTGATTAAGATGAGCAGTAAACCCAGCAGTGGTCATCATTACCTCACTTCCAGGGAATTTTGAGCATGTGAGTGATTAGAAGAGAAAATCAGTGGTGTATATATAGGTAGTCACCCTGACTTACAGTGTATTTGAATTACTTAGGATTGACTGGGTTTTTAGGGGGTTTTGGAGGGTGGGCAGGATACATCTTATTACTGTTACGTACCGTACTTGCTGTACGGAAGGCTGAGATTATCTCAGATGGGATGTTTTCAACTTTCAAAGACAAAGATTGGATTTATTAAGATACTGTTCATAAAAGGCGGTAATAGCAAAAAGGGAGTGGTACTCACGTCTTGTCTAAGTGGGCTTAACACTGGTCTAGAGCAGCTGTGTGTAATGCAGAAGCTGCCTGGAGGCAGGGCCGCCAGGGCACATCTGTGAGAGGCTCCTCAGCAGCCATTGTAACAATGTTGTGTTTAAAGCTAAGCTTCCTTACCTTTAAACAATTTTTTCCAAAAGGTCTATAACAAAAATGTTTACCATTTTAAGTATATAATTCAGTGACATTTGTAACTTTCACCATCAACAATATCGGTTTCAAAAGCATTACTCTATCTGAAACAAGTCTTTCCCTCTCATTAATCCCTGGTACCACTTTAACTCGGGTCTGCACTTACCTATCCTAGATATTTTATATAAATGGCATTATACAATATTTGCCCTTTTGTGTCTGACTTATTTCACTCGGTATAATGTTTTCATGCTTTGTTCATATTGTAGCATTTATCAAGACTCTTGCTTCTTGAATATTATTTCATTTTAGGTGTATTTTACATTCTGTTTTCTCCATTGAGCTGTTGATTAACTCTTGGGGTAGATTCTGCCTTTTGGCTGTTGTGAAAAATGTTACAGTGAGCATTGATAAGTGTATCTCTCTGTTGCATTGATAAGAAAAAGGACTTCTAAGGGAGCTCTCAGGCATTAATTCATGGTCCTAGTGCCAGCTAGAGCAGATAAAACTCCAGATTCTTAAATACTTTCTCCTCTTTAGCCTCTTTACTGAAATTCTTTTTCCTTCTTTCCTGTCTTGTCTTTTTCTTCTCCCCTCCCCCTTTCTTCCCAACCTCTTTTTCTTCCCAAGGTTGGGAAGGTGAGCTTATTTGTAAAAAAAAGAATTCTCATCTACTTGTGTCTATCTGTCTTCTGATTCTACTTTTTGGTGCAAGCTTGGAAGAAATCTGGCCAAAGGACACCCTTGCTGTCACTGTGGGTGACAAGGTAGCAGGCCACCTTGCACTTGCGGGGTCTTCAGCGGTGGTCTGAAGGCTGTTAGTGGTGGCTGGTTGGAGACCGAGAAAGAGGCAGTGGAGGGACTGATACTTTCAGAGGTTGTGGGCCTGTGGTCCCATCCCCATTTCCCGTGCTAAGGCTCTGCTTATCCCTCACTCTGTGCTTTGCAGGAAGGAGGAAACAGTCACTGTCTACCCTGCCGATGTTGTGCTTTTTGAGGGGATCCTGGCCTTCTACTCCCAAGAGGTACGAGACCTGTTCCAGATGAAGCTCTTTGTGGATACAGATGCGGACACCCGGCTCTCCCGCAGAGGTGCGTTCCAAACATCTCAGGCAGCCAGCACTGCTGGCAGACGACACTTTGGATTCAGGGGAGCCAAGAAGCCCATGCCTTCCCTGAGCCAGCTAACTGCGTGGCTGCCTGGCATCACCCTGTTGCGTCACTGCTGCCCAGGATGTCCTGCTGCCCAAATGCGTGGTGACATTTGAGAAAGGATTAGTCACTTTACTCTTTGGGATAACGAAGGGCTTGTGAGGTCATGAGATGAAATAAGAAGTTGCCTGGTTTCTCTGGGAAAAAAGGTTTTTAACTGTTCACTTCCTTCAGAATTTTCCAAGGGCATCAGAGTCAAGACAGGAAATCACTTGGAGGCTATCTGGGGCAAGAACACTGTGGTTGAGGGTGCTGGACGACTACCTCTGACTGCCTCTTGGGCCTTTATTATCCAGAAAGCTTCATGGAGGCTTGGCCGGTCTGTCCAGCCAGCTCAGGAGCCAAGCTCCTGCTACAGACTTTGTTTAATGTGTGCCTGTGTATAGTGTGGTGGCATTACAGAGGTGCCCAGCAGTGGAGATTTAACTCTTGAGATTATTGAGCATAGAGTTTGCTTCCACAGCCAAGTTCTTACCCACTACATCGTCAGGGCGCCTAGAGTGAGATTGTAGAGACCTGTGGTCTAGTCCCAGCTGACCTTTGAGCTAGCTTTTTAACTATATGCTTTCCCTCACTTGGATTTCTTCCCAAGTAATAGAGGACAGACAAGCTCCCTTTGACTGGACAGTGTCACATGGTCTTTTAGATAGGTAATCGAGACTAACATACTCCATGCTTCTACTCGAGATTAGTTTGCCAGAATTAGGAGGCAGCATGATCATGCTATATGGCAAAAACCCCAGAGTGTTTAGGATCAGGTGAACCGGATGGAGTTAAGTCCAGTTTCTACTATATCCTAACTTCAGGCACATCTTGCTAACTTTTTAGTGGTGGTGCCAGGAATCATCAAATTGATTTTCAGTTCCTAGCACCTCACGTGATGGAGTAGAACTACTCATAGGGTGTTTGAGGCTGTAATCTTCACAGGTGTTGGGTATCACATCTCTTAGGGAGCTGCTGTGTGGTTTTGAACCATCAACCTTCTGGTTAGCACTTAATATCGTGCCATCAGGCCTCCTTTTACCTCGTGAAATAATGATTATGCTAAAAACAATGATGTGTTACTCTGTGATAGTTGTGAAAATGAGGTGGGAGAAATGCTTGACATCATGATGGCAAGTAAGAGTTAAAAAAAAAGATATTATGGGTAAGGGCATGGTGGGGAGAGTGGGAAGACTGTGCTTCCAACAAGGTGGTAGATGTTGTCCTAGTTTGCTGTCAGGACTGGTCAGAACTTCTAAGGCAGTCTAGGTTCTGGTCATTTCACACCTGGAGCTGATAATAGTTCAACCAGTGGGAACAGAGTCACCTGGGATGAGGTGATGCAGTGGGAGAGCCTGACAGGAGCAAGGGACAAGCTCTTGCCCAGGAAATTAGAACCAGATTGTAAGCAGTAATACACGTACGTGTATGGAACCTTGGTCTCTTACTCAAATAAGGTAAATTGTAAATCTCCCCTCTCTCTTGTGAAATGGGTTTCTGCTCCAGCATGAGGGAGTTGGCTGAGGCTGTGGCCTTCTCTGGAGCTCTCTTGGGTTTGGCTGTGCAGTTCCTGGTCTGCCCTTGAATATAAGTTGCTGCTTTCTCGTTTTACATCTGTGTTTTTACATGCCACCCACTGGGCATGTCCCTTTCCTGGCAGGCAGTGGAACTTTTCCAAGTGCTATTTCTACAAAGTCATTCTCTGTCCACGTAGGACAAAAGGCATGCACAGCATGTGCCTTGTGGAGGTGGTGGTGGTGGTAAAGGCTGAGAGGAAGAGGTGCGTTAGTCAGGAGCAGCTGGTGGACATGAGGACGCTTGGGGAGACTGGAATTAGCTCTGGTTTTTCTCATCCGTTGTCTCACTCTCCTGGAATATGACCCTCATTTCTAAGTTGAAGCTCAGGTGGGAGGGAGCTGCCTTTGAGTAATGCCTGCTGCCCACTAGGGTCCCTTGTGCAGTGAGGGAATTGATTTCCAAGAGTACATGACTGACTTAACCTCTAAGTGTGTTACTCACTTGGCTCACAGTGGAATACAGAGGCCAGAGAGGAGCTGGGTAGTGCAGAGAACCCCTGAGGACTGCTCACGCCAACTCTGTTACACTTCTGTATGCCCTGTTCACTTAGAATTAGGACGGTAGAAGGCCTGTGGGATAGTTATAGTGAACTTTTGGTACAGAATAGCAAGTTTCCTCACCTAATTTATTATACCAGTAAATTGACTTAACAAAACAGGTCTCTCCTGAAGAGAGTGAAACTAGTTTGTTCCCTGGAGGCAAGGATTTTGAAGCTCTATCTCCCATACTTGGGCATGTCGCCTGGAGGAACCAGTCTATGGAGAAGAACATCATACGATAGAGGGTCATTGTAAAGACCCCTAGATAAGATGGATTCACATGGTGACTATAGCAGTGGGTTCAGGTGTGTTAGACAGTAAGGTTGGCTCAGGATAGGGAAAGGTTCAGATCCGTTTTTCATAGGGTCACTGAGAGAGTTGTAGTCAACCTGTTAAAAAACAACAACATTGAGAAAATAGATTTATTCTGAGTCTTTCAAATTTTGATCTGGGTAGCCAGGAAGAACAGGAATAGATTTAGAAGGGCTGAGTCAGAAGGTCAAGCAGAAAAATGAGGGTATACCTGTAGCTTCCTGCCTTCACTCACCTCCGGAAGGGCCTGCAGAGGCTAAGCACATATACTGGGGTCAGATTGATAATGGGAGAGTAGACTTCAAGTCCCTGGTGTGTCCCGAGTTCCAAGGCCTTGCTCTGCCTCAGGCACTGGCTTGGTCCGGTTTCCTCACTGGGCCTGAGGAGAGGGAGATTGGGGGCAAGGTGTGGGTGTGGGTGTGTGGTAGATGATCTAACTCTTGAGGAACAGAAACAGCCAGTGACATTTTATGATGTGTGTATACTTTTTCTAGTTTTTCTTCCTGTAAATTTAGTTACTGAAAATATATACAGCGTTTATTGTAGAGATTCTTCTTTCTTTGGAATGGCCTTAACACCTTATCACAATCAGTCTTGAGTTTATTTCTAGACTTTAATATCTAGTCCATTGATTTCTATGCCTGTTGAGAAAGATGGGCTGTCTTCTGTTAAAATTTACAGCCTGGTCAATTCCATAACCCAGCGGCAGTGAGACTTACCATTCCATGTAAAGTTGAGGATTACCATTTCTCTTTCTTCTCTGAATTCTGTTGGAATTTTGATCATGATTTTGAGTCTTAGATTGCTTTGGGTAGTACTGGTAGCATTAAATTTATGAACATGGAACATCTTTCCATTTCTTTTTTTTTTTTCAGTGATGTTTTATTGTTTTCATTGTATAAAAACCTTCACATCTCTGGTTAGATTTATTCCCAGGTATTTAATTCTTGAGAATCATATGTGTTGACAGCTAACCAAAAGATCAGTAATTGGAATCTGCCAGTTGCCCCATAGGAGAAAGAGGGACAGTCTCCAGTTTGAGATTTTACAACCTCATAACCGGGTGGAAGGTTGCCATCAGTTGGACTTGACTTGAGAGCAGTGAGTTTTGGTTTGATTTTTGTTCTCAGGGAGCTCGGGTGATGCAATGGGTAAAACATTTAGTGTCTAACCAAAAATTTGTCACTCTTCATTGTGGTCGGAGGCAAACTGACTCATACATAAGCCTCCTGTTGGCTTTTAGAGGCAGTAAATCACATAGAAGGAGATTGCCCATCTTTCTCCCACAGAGTTGCTGGTGAATTTGAACCTCCAGAGAGGCAAGTTATTTGAATTGATAGCACGACACCTATAGCCCAGAGTTCCCTTGCCAGAAGTTTAACGGATTGACTTCACTAGCTGATCTGTGGGAGGGGGATATGATTGCCTGCTTCCATAAAGATGATAGCCTTGGAAATCCAGGTGTCCTGCTCTGTTCTGTAGGAACAGAGTGAGGTAGGTGATTCTAATCCAGCAGTTACTCGAAGGGAGATGGATAGGGAGTCTTCTCCCTTGCAGTTAAGAGCCTCTGAAAACCTGCTGGAGGGTTAGCTATGAGTCAAATCTGACTTGAAGGTTCATAAGAACAATAGCAACAGCAATGGATCAGTATGAGCGGGAATTGATAGCAGCAGATTTGATTTAGTGTTTTATTTTCTTAGATGCTGTTGCAGATGGAATTCATTCCCTTCCAGATTTCTTTTTTTTTTTTTTTTTAACGGTTGTTAGTAGTAATGCTTTAATTCACTGTAAAAATCTTTATCAAAACAGTTTTGTTGTTAGGATATACTCACGATCTTTCCTGTGCTCAAGCCCATTGTTAAAGTCACTGTGACCATCCATCCTGTTGGGTCTCTCTCTGTCCCTCCATCTTTCCCAGAATGATGTCTTTTTCCAAGGACTGCTCCCTCCTGTCAACAGGCCCCAAAGTATGTGACCGAGTTTCACCATCCTTCCTTCTAGGAGCACACTGGTTGCACTTCCTCCAAGGCAGACTTGTTTGTTTTTTGGAAGACCGTGGGATAATTCAGTACTTTTCTCCAGCACCACAAATCAAAGACATCAATTCTTCTCCTGTCATCCTTATTTACTGTCTACTCATAGATGCATAGGAAATAATGAAAAGAATATTGCTTTAATCAAGCATACCTTATAGCCTTTAGTATTTTGGATGGGTTCTTTGCAGCATGGTTTTTATTTTCCCAGTGCAACATGGGTTCTGATTTTTTAAAAAAAATTAAATTTTACTAATCTTAATGAACATTTACAGAGATTTGGGGTTTTCATTCATTCATTGTTGCACAGATTTCTTAGGGCTGATTTAAGGAAACCCATCTGAGATCTTACGTTCTGAAACTTTGCTGTTTTGTTATAGGCCTTTTGAGATTTTGTGTATATAAGATCATCTGCAAATAAAGATAATTTTACTAC